TGATCATACCCAAGTTGAATGTTGTCTTGGTCTGATAAACATTCCACATACTTTGTGATATGGTAGATATGTTGTTGAGAAAAGAGAAAAGGACATGAATATTTGTTCACATGTCTATCAAAAACAGAGGTATTCTTTCTTGTTATACCGTTGTAGCTCATATCTCTTTGGTCTACTATCAACTTCATCAACTCGCACTTGATCATACCAAAGTTGAATGTTGTCTCGGTCTGATAAACATTCCACATACTTTGTGATATGGTAGATATGTTGTTGAGAAAAGAGAAAAGGACATGAATATTTGTTCACATGTCTATCAAAAACAGAGGTATTCTTTCTAGTTCCACTGTCGTGGCTCATATCTCTTTGGTCTACTATCAACTTCATCAACTCGCACTTGATCATGCCCAAGTTGAATGTTGTCTCGGTCTGATAAACATTCCACATACCTTGTGATATGGTAGATATATTGTTGACAAAAGAGAAACGGACATGAATATTTGTTGACATGTCTTTAAAAAACAGAGGTTTTTTCTAGTTCCACTGTCGTGGCTCATATCTCTTTGGTCTACTATCAACTTCATCAACTCGCACTTGACCATACCCAAGTTGAATGTTGTCTTGGTCTGATAAACATTCCACATACTTTGTGATATGGTAGATATGTTGTTGAAAAAAGAGATTAGGACATGAATATTTGTTCACATGTCTATCAAAAACAATGGTATTCTTTCTAGTTTCACCGTCGTGGCTCATATCTCTTTCGTCTACTATCAACTTCATAAACTCGCACTTGATCATACCCAAGTTGAATGTTGTCTCGGACTGATAAACATTCCACATACTTTGTGATATGGTAGATATGTTGCTGAAAAAAGAGCAAAGGACATTAATATTTGTTCACATGCCTATCAAAAACAGAGGTATTCTTTCTAGTTCCACTATCGTGGCTCATATCTCTTTGGTCTACTATCAACTTCATCAACTCGCACTTGATCATACCCAAGTTGAATGTTGTCTCGGTCTGATAAACATTCCACATACTTTGTGATATGGTAGATATGTTGTTGAGAAAAGAGAAAAGGACATGAATATTTGTTCACATGTCTATAAAAAACAGAGGTATTCTTTCTTGTTCTACCGTTGTAGCTCATATCTCTTTGGTCTACTATCAACTTCATCAACTCGCACTTGATCATACCCAAGTTGAATATTGTCTCGGTCTGATAAATATTCCACATACTTTGTGATATGGTAGATATGTTGTTGAGAAAAGAGAAAAGGATATGAATATTTGTTCACATGTCTATAAAAAACAGATGTATTCTTTCTTGTTCTACCGTTGTAGCTCATATCTCTTTGGTCCTACTATCAACTTCATCAACTCGCACTTGATCATACCAAAGTTGAATGTTGTCTCGGTCTGATAAACATTCCACATACTTTGTGATATGGTAGATATGTTGCTGAGAAAAGAGAAAAGGACATGAATATTTGTTCAAATGTCTTTCAAAAACAGAGGTATTCTTTCTAGTTCCACCGTCGTGGATCATATCTCTTTGGTCTACTATCAACTTCATCAACTCGCACTTGATCATACCCAAGTTTAATGTTGCCTCGGTCTGATAAACATTCCACATACTTTGTGATATGGTAGGTATGTTGCTGAGAAAAGAGAAACGAACATGAATATTTGTTCACATGTCTATAAAAAACAGAGGTATTCTTTCTAGTTCCACCGTCGTGGCTCATATCTCTTTGGCCTACTATCAACTTCATCAAATCGCACTTGATCATAACCAAGTTGAATGTTGTCTTGGTCTGATAAACATTCCACATACTTTGTGATATGGTAGATATGTTGCTGAAAAAAGAGCAAAGTACATGAATATTTGTTCACATGTCTATAAAAAATAGAGGTATTCTTTCTAGTTCCACTATCGTTGCTCATATCTCTTTGGTCTACTATCAACTTCATCAACTCACACTTGATCATACCCAAGTTGAATGTTGTCTCGGTCTGATAAACATTCCACATACTTTGTGATATTGTAGATATGTTGTTGAGAAATGAGAAAAGGACATGAGTATTTGTTCACATGTCTTTCAAAAACAGAGGTATTCTTTCTAGTTCCACTGTCGTGGCTCATATCTCTTTGGTCTACTATCAACTTCATCAACTCGCACTTGATCATACCCAAGTTGAATGTGGTCTCGGTCTGATAAACATTCCACATACTTTGTGATATGGTAGATATATTGTTGAGAAGAGAGAAAAGGACCTGAATATTTGTTCACATGTCTTTGAAAAGCAAGTATTCTTTCTAGTTCCACTATTGTGGCTCATATCTCTTTGGTCTACTACCAACTTCATCAACTCGCACTTGATCATACCCAAGTTGAATGTTATTTTGGTTCTGATTAACATTTCACATACTTTGTGATACCATCGATATATTGCAAAGAAAAGAGATAAGGACATGAATATTTGTTCACCTTTTGGATCAAGCAGTAACCGCGGTGATGTTTTAGTTCTGATTAACATTTCACATACTTTGTGATACGGTGGATATGTTGTCGAGAAAAGAGAAAAGGACATGAATATTTTTTCACCTTTTGGATGAAGCAGTAATCATGGTGATTGTTTTAGTTCTGCTTAACATTTCACATACTTTGTGATACGGTGGATATGTTGCTGAGAAAAGAGAAAAGGACATGAATATTTTTTCACCTTTTGGATGAAGCAGTAATCATGGTGATTGTTTTAGTTCTGCTTAACATTTCACATACTTTGTGATACGGTGGATATGTTGCTGAGAAAAGAGAAAAGCACATGAATATTTTTTCACCTTTTGGATGAAGCAGTAATCATGGTAATTGTTTTGGTGCTGATTAACATTTCACATACTTTGTGATACGGTGGATATGTTGCTGAGAAAAGAGAAAAGCACATGAATATTTTTTCACCTTTTGGATGATGCAATAATCATGGTGATTGTTTTAGTTCTACTTAACATTTCACATACTTTGTGATACTGTGGATATGTTACTGAGAAAAGAGAAAAGGACATGAATATTTTTTCACCTTTTGGATGAAGCAGTAATCATGGTGATTGTTTTTGTTCTGCTTAACATTTCACATACTTTGTGATACTGTGGATACGTTACTGAGAAAAGAGAAAAGGACATAAATATTTTTTCACCTTTAGTAATCATGGTGATTGTTTTTGTTCTGATTAACATTTCGGATACTTTGTGATATGATGGATATATTTGAGAAAAGAGAAAAAGAAATGAATATTTGTTCACCTTTTGTATCAAGTAGTAACCGCGGTGATTTTTTAGTTATGATTAACATTTCAAATACTTTGTGATACGATGTATATGTTGCCGAGAAAAGAGAAAAGGACATGAATATTTTTTCACTTTTTGGGTGAAGCAGTAATCATGGTGATTGTTTTGTTCTGATTCACATTTCGGATACTTTGTGATATGATGGATATGTTGCTGAGAAAAGAGAAAAAGAAATGAATATTTGTTCACCTTTTGGATCAAGTAGTAACCGCGGTGATTTTTTAGTTATGATTAACATTTCACATACTTTGTGATACGATGGATATGTTGCCGAGAAAAGAGAAAAGGACATGAATATTTTTTCACTTTTTGGGTGAAGCAATAATCATGGTGATTGTTTTTGTTCTGATTCACATTTCGGATACTTTGTGATATGATGGATATGTTACTGAGAAAAGAGAAAAAGAAATGAATATTTGTTCATCTTCTGGATGAATCAGTAACTGCGCAGATTGTTTTGGTTCTGATTAACATCTGCGCAGATTGTTTTGGTTCTGATTAACATTTTCCATACTCTGTGATATGAAACTCAAGAATGTATGATAAAATGTGTATAGGCACCAAATAGAAGCAAGTCAAAAATCAAAGTAGGAGGCTATTTATGAATGAAATATCACTCATCTATCAGAGGATTACATCTCTCTTCTAGTGACATTGATAGAAACAAGTGGAAGTGCTCTCTTAAATAGATAAAACTAACTACTAATATAATCCGTTTATTACTCCTAATTATTCTAATCTAAACTTACTCCACTAATTCTCCTGTGGCCTAAAGACTAGGAAATAAATAACTAATTTGACTCCTAAAAAATAGCAACAAACAAACCACTTCACCACAAATTAGCTCGTTGCCACATACATTTTATAAATAAAACTCAGTAAATTTATGTAAATGAATTAGATCATTGCTATAATTTGGGATCATACTTAGCAATGTTTAATAAGTCATATAAATGTCAATGTAATAATGTTCTTGATAAAACTACCAGTAACATTTTTTTACTCTAAATTATATTTTATTCTAAATTTTTAAGTAACATAAATTGCAAGAAAATAATATATAACATACATATTAAAGGACAATTCAAATAAAAGTTAATTCATTAACGAAATACAACTACATAAACATTATATGAATATTCAACTTTCAAGATTATTACGTTGCTCATATAAATCTCTATCAATGCATTATGAAGTTCAAAATGAACACTTTAGTCTTTAATTTTTGTATGTCTAGTTAAAAATTATATATAAATACATAAAATAAGAAATTAGAACAATCATGAACAAATTATTAAAAAAATAAAATATATCAATGACATGAAGTATGTGTAAAATAGAATGATATTTAATTCACTTAAAAAATGTTTAGGGTAAAATAAATATATGTACGATCAAAGTGCTAAAATAAGTTTGACTATCAAGTTCAAAAAGAATTTATATACTCCTATTTTTTTGAATTATTAATGGATTGAGGAGATAAGTTCATGTGGACTAAAATAAAATGACACATCATATTTATCAGCCAATTTTAATAAGACAACTTTTGATGTGATATAGACAAAATTGAACAACCTTGTTAAGTAAAAAAAAGTAGTTGTGTTCCAACAAATACCAATTAATTCATCAATTACGTAATTTCTTTTCTTAATATGTAAGAAAAGCCTAAGCTAGTCAGTAGTAAACTTTATTTATAAAAATAAAACCGTCCATTCTTGTGAACTTCCATTAATCAACATAGTTTTATCTTTGGATTGCTTTAACAAGGTGAGCTTTACTCTAATTTGAGTTTTTCTTATATAATTTTTGTGCAATCCCCTAAAAGAAAAATTTATTTGTTATATTAGTTGCAGGAGGGTGGTCTTCCATCAAATTTAAGCCCTAAAAGAAAAAAGGTGTTTTAAGAGAGTTGCAAAGTTTCACTTGTAAGTTGTATAAAAGCATCCCATTTTTTTTTATTTTTTTTGGTTTTATATATATATATATATATCTGTTTATTACTGTGTGTGATTAATTTTTTCATCAAATAAATTATGGGTGCTTGATCTAAAATAGAGGAATGGAAGTGAAATGGGAAAAGAAAGGGGAAATGTGCTTTAAAAATGAACCTAGATCTAGGAGTTTAGGTCCGATAAGGAACCACTTAAATTGTATCGAAGTACTAGAAATGTTATATTGTGATTCGGAGTGAAATTTCTTATTAATATTTGGGTCTCGAGTCTTAGGTGAGGTCAAGTGCAAGTATCTCGGTATGCCTCACTATTGCACTTGTGTTATACAACTATTTCATTCTAATCTTCCACAAACTAAGACTAGACCCCGACCCCCTACCCGCTCAAACAAGCCTCCTCAATTGCTTTCCATAACCCTTGTAACACCAAGGACAATCTCATTCTAATCTTCCACAAACCAAGACTCGACCCCTCCCCCGTCAAATTTCACTATTTTATATTTTGTTGAAGATTATGAAGACGTCAGAAATCCCAATGAAGTTCTGATATATATACTATACACAACACACACATACCACACAATATGCAAAGTGCACTAGCAGAAATCTTAAAGTCAAAAATTCTACCAGATAGTTCACAAGCAAAGGTGCTTAATCCTATCAAATATTGGGTTCACATAAGAGCACTTAAAGTTCACAACCCTTGGAGAAACAATATCAACAAGATTAACATCACCACAATATTTCAACTCCAAAGTCTCAAGTATTGGCATAGTAAGAGTAGTGTTAATTGATCCTACGGAACTGTTAATTGTTGAATGATCTGAGTGTGCTTAAGTATCTGTCTTGGAGATAAGATGAAATCCCAGTATATATAGGTCCACTTTGTTTCATGAGAATTTTACGGATTATGTTAGAAGCAGAATCCTCAATGTTAGATACATACTGAAAAAAACTCAAGGATCAAGCACATGTTAGGTTGTGTAGACCGTAACTGCATCCAATTTTTTATAAGATGTTAGCTCTTGCAGCATATTTGATGGCTATGAGATCTAGCATTAAAGAACTGCTACTTCTTAATAGTGCTCAATTATATATATATAAAAAATCTAATAAATAACGGACGCTTAGTGAACTATCCCTTCAATTCATTATTTTCCTTATTGAGTGTGAAATGAGCTAAAATGATACTATTTTGGAACGGAAGAAGTAGTAATATGTAGTTATGTTGTTTTCAGTCAATGCTCATTTTTCCATTTGTGAAATTATATATATTTATCCTGTTGAATACCTTCTTCTTGTTCACTCCGTCCTAGTGCCACATGTCCCCCCTTTCTCTTAAATTTTTTATTAGGAACTTATTACTTTCCAAGAGCCGCATACTATACACATCACACTTCTAAGTATAGTATATGGTTCTTGTCAAGTAATTAGTGTCCATATATATTGCTACAAAATTTAAGAGCGGGGGACATGTGGGACCAGCGCGGAGTGAACAAGATAAAGGTATGCACGGGGATAGGTGAGTATTGACCTGAAGCGACACAACTATATATATACTACTACTTACTTTGTCCTAAATATTAATTACCTCATTTTTCTCTGTTTTATTTTACTTGTGTTGATGTGATTAATGTTTTTATCTATGTTGTGTGTTCCCTGATAAATACGAATTTTCTTTGACCTCATACACGAACCACGAATACTTCGTTTTATTGCATAAAAGAAGACCTTTATTATTTTAAACTTGAGAAATCAACATAGTTAAGTTAGAAATGTTCCTCGTCAAAATTTTCTTGTAGTTGCTCACTTTCCTTTCAAATACTTTTGTCAAAAATAAACCACAACGTTTACTTCCCAACTCTTTTTTTTAGTTTAGCTTTACATATTTTATTATAAAATTTATTCTTTAACTTGTCAGTTCTTGAATTTATTCAAGTCTTGAACTTTTCCCTCTAAATTTAGTTAAGTTCAGTAGATCTTCTTTTACTACTTCCAATGCTTCAAATTTTGATAATATTCCTGTCTCTTATTACATTCAAATGGATTCAAGTCATCATTTGTTATCCAATAAACTAGTTTAGTGTTTACAAAATATTTTACTTCCACACCTTTTCAATAAGACAATTTTTCATAAAGAATTGTTTTTCAATCAATGAATTTAAAGTTACTTGACATTTAGCTTTCACATTTTTTGACACTTAATTAATTAAGTTTGGCCGGTTAACCATTTTTAATGAATCTTAAAGGATTCTTAATACCTTTGTTTTAGATTAGTTGAATTCTTACTTAGAATTTTATGTTTAGTAGACCTTAAAAAATGAAGTTTAACTTTTAGACAATGTCTTTAATCAATTTCAGGTGTCGTAATTTGCCATAAATAATTAGGTGGCGACTCATTTAGTCATTTAATTAGTTTAGCAATCACTAATATGTTGTACATTATTTTGACATGGTTAAAATGAGGTATAACAAATGATAATCTAACCGAGGTTAGAAGCTTCCACTTTAAATAATATATAATGATATGTGTCTAAGTCTTTTCTATTATGTCATATGAATGACAAAAAGAAATTCTGTGATGGCACAGACATAAGTTTTTTCTTCAGTTCTTCAAGGTGAGTGAGCTGAGCAACAATAACATGGCATTCACCAGCTTCTTGGGTGCATTTCCTCCTATGTTTACAATTATCCATCTCACTCTCTCTACAAATCTCTCTTAATCTCTCTATACACACACATATATATATAGTATGTGGTTCTTGACAAGTAATAAGTGTCCATGTATGTTGCTACAAAATTTAAGAGCAAGGGAGGACACGTGGCACCAGGGCGGAGTAAGCGAAAAGAAGTTGTTCACTGGGGTAGATATGATTGGGAAAAGAAGTATTGACCGGAAACGAATTATAACTATATCCTAATACTTCTTCTGTCCAAAAATAACTATCAGTTTATCTCATTTCACGCCCATTAAAGAAAATAAAAAATTGAAGGTATAGTTCACTAAGTTGTTTATGTAGATGGTTCTTTTTCATAGTTGAGCACTATTTTAAAAGTAGTAGCTCTTTAATATAAAAGTATAGTCGAAACATGCATACTAATTTTTTAAATATTAATACTCCTTTCGCCCCCAAAATAAGTGCCACTCGAGCAAAAAAAAAACTGTTTTAAAACAAGTGTCTTTGTAGGAATTCTAGACCAAAATTAGTATGCTTTTTCAATTATAAAAAAACATGTAATAAATAGAGCTAACACAGTAAACTGTACTTCAATTTTGTTCTTTTTCTTAATAAGTATGAATATGAGCTAAAGAGATACTTATTTTGGATAAAGGAAGTAGTAATATATAGTTATGTCGTTTCCGGTCAATGCTCATTTTCCCAATAGTGAAATCATATTTATCCTAGTGAATACCTTTTTTTCGTTCACTCCGCCTTGGTTCCACGTATCCCCTTTCTCTTAAATTTTGTGGCTATATATATGGGGACATGTTACTAGCCAATAGCCACATACTATATACATAGAGAGAGAGGGAGATGTTTGTAGAGAGAGAGATGGATAATAGTAACCATGTTGGTGGTTCAGGAAATGGAGAATTTCGTAGCTAAAGCTGAGCGTTTCTATTAAAATCTATCTCACAAGGTAGGGGAAAGGCTATGTACACATCGTACTTTCAGATTCTATTTATGGAATTATATATACTGATTACTGGGCATGTCCTTGTTGTTGTTGAATATTCATGAAGCTTTGTGCACACAGTTAGTTTGGGCTGCTAGCTACTAATTTTCATTAATTCCTCGAAATTTTTCATTTTCTTCTTTATCTCTGTTGAGCCTTGGAAGAAATAAAAATGGAGAGCTGCAACTTGTGTACATTTGTTGGCTTGCTCTACGTCCGTCTTTAATTAGCTATGGACCATATATGCATTTTCTTCCATATATATATTTGCAAAGCTAGCTGTTTGTATATCAAAGATGGAAGATCAATTGATCAATTCATGGTAATAGTGATCGACACGGCATTTCTGGTTCTCTTTTGGAACTTCAAAGAAAAAATGGAAACAAGTGGCATACATGCAATCTTGTGGATGTCCTCTCTACCGCTTTTTACGCGTGTCTCTCCTCTAAAAAGAATATTAAAAAGAGAGCGAAAAAAACAAGCCGTCTAGTCTAGCGTTAGCAAATTTGAAAATCAGCTAGCTATATTTCATTTAGGGATCCCTTTCATTTATTAAAGGCTTTGATTATGGCATAAAAATTGCCTATATTGTCTGTTACAATTTGAGGAGATCTTCCTGTATTTATATAGAAGTTTCAGCTAATTAACTTGAGTAAATTTATTTATTTTACTATCTGCTTTAGCCATAAAATTAAAAATCAGAACAAATAAGCATTTTAAGAAGTTAATCAAAATCTAGAAAGTACTTAGTTATCCAAAGTTGAAGAAGGATAGCATATAACATTAAGAACAACTGGTACTACAGATAAAGAATATGAAAACAGTGAGCAGGGTAGTATCCGTTACAATTAAATTCATCTTATTCCTATATCAAGGTTATGGTAAAAGAAAAGCCTTTTGATCAGAGGAAAGTTTGGATATATGCGAGAGTTAGTTGAAGAGTAGACAAAATACGATAGAGTCTGAAAACTAAATGTGAAGCGTTTTATGTTACTTTACTCAGTGTGTATTCACACGTATCGTATTGAATAATATGTGCCTTTGGTGTTCACATGAATATTGTCCAAAATTCATAGTGCCGTCTTACAGTACGACTCTCATATCCAGCTAATAATTAGTGAGACATATATTTGCGTGCTATTAACTTCGTAATTTGTTCAATACTTGGGTAAGTAATAGAAAATGTGACTTCATAATGTTTAATTAGACAATAAAAACATAGCTAGTTGTGATGAAATTAGACGAACATTTTGATGATATAGACCACACTTTTTTTTAATTTCACTCTGATGCTTTTTTGTTGTGTGAAATTAAGATATGGAGATGAGCCTGGAACTGCCTGCACATCTCAACCAGGAAGTTGTTGAAATCATCTTTCTGGAGCAAGATCAAGTCATACCAAACGTGGCCAGAATCATGCATAGCACCCATTGTCCCCATGTCAAGATATCCGACGATGCCAAACGGACCATGTACCATTGTATCTCTGAGTTCATATGCTTTGTAACATATGAAGCCAACGCTCATTGCAAGCGTGAGCAGTGGAACACAATCACTGATAAAGACGTGCATTAACAAGTTTGGTTTTGATGACTACATTGAACCCTTGCCTTTGTACTTTCCTCGTTATGGTGAGGATGATGGTGGCGAGTGTGGATCCCTGGAGTCTTTGTTGAAGCGTCCAATGGTTAATTCAACTTCAAGCTGCAACATCACGCCCTATCACCAGCATCCTAATTTTCCTATGGCTCATCACCGCTTGGCGTATCCACCACCAATGGGGAATGGTGATATTCAGGGGGATGCATCAAATTGGAAGCACTTCTCAGTGTGCAATGGATGATGATGTTGAGTTTCCTATGGAGGATGGTAAGAAGTGATCAATTTCTCTACTGAAGGTGTTAAGTTGTTCAAGCTTCATGAGCAATGAAGAAATTAGACTATCTTTTCTATGTTACCTAATCTAGGATAGTTCTTAATTTGCAAAGTTTAGGAATGTGTTTTCCGAACTAAGTGAGGCGAATGGTGGCTATTTACTTATGTTTGTATGTGTTTGTGTATGTGTATGTTATATTTGCCCTTGTGCTATGAAAAAATTGGTCATATCAACATTCTGTTTCACTTTTTTTATTCTCTTCCCTCTGTTTCACTTCTTGAATATCCCGGTAGTTATATTCCTTGCTGTTTTATTATTCATTTTGTGCAGATTCTTGTTGCCAATCATTTAATTTATGCCTTCAAATGAAAAAACACAACCTAAACCTCCCCAGATGTACATAGCAACCTTTTCGATAGTGAGATCAATGACATTCTAACGAAGTTGCCTTTACATGATATTGTGAGGACAAGCATCATATAGAAAGAATGGAGATATAGACTTCCACGCTTCAAACTTGATCAAACAATTTTAAGAAACAACAGAGGACTTGATATTTGTCATTCAAACAAGATCCCTTGATTTGTATCATATCAGGCAGCCACATAGCTGGCTTCAGCTGAAGATTTAGCTGCAATACCTTGTTTCTTTGTGCTCCAAGAAAATTCTGAACCAAACCTAAATGAGTCCACTCCATTAACTATCCGAGTATCCAAGAAGGTCTCCATTCTCCACACTTCTATACCGAATTCCATAATCAATTCCCCCTCTATTGCACCTTAACACCCTTTTAACAGCTCCAAAATGCTTAGTGTTGGAACTTTTCATATATCTAAATAACAAATTGACATCAAACATTATGTCTAGCCTAGAAGCATTCAGATACAATATCCTTCCAATAAGACTTCTATGAAGTATTGGATCTGCCCTTTCTTCGCCATCATCCTTCATCATTTTCTTTTATTCACATCAAGTAGAGTTGCAACAGGTTTGCGCTTGTCAAGCTTGAACAATTTTGTACCGTTCAAGGCATACCTCTTTTGGAAAAAGAAAATTACTTCAAAAAATTGAGGAATCTCCATTCCTAGGAAAAACTTATTCTCTCCTAGATCACACATCTCAAAAGCTTTTAGCATTTCATTTTTGGTATTTTGAGCATATTGAAAGTTCTAGAGCTTAGAATGGAGTGATTTTTGTGGCATTCTTCTCGATCTAATATAAGAGTTAGTATTCGATCCTCATTTTAGCATTCTTTCATGATTTTTTGATCTTATTTTCTTTCCTCATCTGTGAATTTCTTAGAGAAGAATTTGGGTTTCATTGATTTTGATGAAAAAAATTATAATTAGGATGTTTATGTTATGAGTAAATTGATTTTGGCATAAATTTTGTTGATTTATTAATTAGTTTCTATCATATTAATCGCTTATAAGCTTGAAAATTTGGGGTTTTCGAAGGTAAAGTTAAAGTTTGATAAATTGTGTATTTTAAGGTGAATTTTTAATCAAAATGTACAACATTAACAGGGTTTTGAATGAATGGGGATACTTTAAATAGGATTAGAACTATAAATTGTTGAAAAACGAGAAAACTTAAAGGGAGATGACCCAAAAGCTTAATTAAACTATAATTGATATGAATTCCCTTCATTCCAAAATATGTGTCACTTCAGCAACAAATAAGTTTGAGAAATTCAATTGTACTCTTATATTAAAGAGCTATCAATTCTTAATAGAGCTCAATTATAAAAAAAACATGTAATAAATAGAGGTAACTTAGTAAACTATACCTTCAAGCTATTATTTTCCTCAATAGGCGAGAAATGAGCTAAAGTAACACTTATTTTGGAACAAAGAAAGTAATAGTATATAGTATGTCGTCTCCGGTCAATGCTCGTTTTCCAAATAGTGAATACCTTCGTCTCGTTCACTCCGCCCTGGTGCCACATGTCCCCCTATCTCTTAAACTTTGTAGCTATATATATCAGCACTTAGTATTGCCAATAGCTACACACTATACAAATAGAGAGAGAGAAAGGAAATATTAGAGAGAGAAAGAGATGGATGGTGGTTCAGGAAATGGAGGATTTCATAGCTATCGCAGATCTCCACAACCAACCCCTGCAGATCCCCCTTCCTCTGGTATGTTACCTATCTTCTCTTTTACTATTTACAAGTGATTTCTCTCTCTCTCTCTATATATATATGTATGGTTGGAATGTTCATATGATTTTTTATATTTGATATGCTTACTGAAGCCGAGCGTTTCTATTAAAATCAATCTCACAAGGTAAGTAGGGGAAAGGCTATGTACATATCGCACTTCCAGATTTATTTAGGGAATTATATATACTGATTACTGGACACATCCTCGTTGTTGTTGAATATTCATGAAGCTTTGTGCACACAGTTAATTTGGGCTGCTAGTTAATAATTTTTATTAATTCCTCTGAATTTTTCATCTTCTTCTTCAGCTCTGTTGAGTTTGGAAGATAATAAAAAAGGAGAGCTGCAGCTCATGTACATTTCTTGGCTTGCTCTATGTCCGTCTTTAATTAGCTAGGGACCATATTTGCATTTTTTCCCATACATATATTTGCAAAGCTATCAAAGATGAAGATCAATTCATGGTAATGGTGATCGACACGGCATTTCTGGTTTTCTTTTGGAACTTGAAAGAAAAAAATGGAAACAAGTGGCATGCATGCAATCTTGTTTATGTCCTCTCCACCGCTTTTTACGCGTGACTCACCTCTAAAAAAAATATTAAAAAGAGAGAGGAAGAAACAAACCGTCTAACGCTAGCAAGTTTGAAAATCAGTTAGCTATATTACATAAATTAAAGGCTTTAATTATGACATAAAAATTGCCTAAATTGTCAGTTACATGAAAATTGTATCTTATTCCGATTTCACGGTTATGGTAAAAGAAAAAGCCTTCTGATTCGAGGCAAGTTTGGATATATGCGAGAGTTAGTCGTTGAAGATTAGACAAAGTAAGATAGATGCTGAAAACTAAATATGAAGTGTTTTATATGTTACTTTTCTCGGTCTTTATTCACACTGATTATATAATATATGTTTTTGGAGTTCACATTAATAATGTCCAAAATTCATAGTGCCGTCTTACAGTACGACTCTCATATCCAGCTAATAATTAGTGAACTATATATTTATGTGTGCCGTTTTGTAATTTCTTCAATACTTGGGTAGGTAATAGCAAATGTTACTTAATAATGATTCATTAGACGATAAAAGGTATAGATGTGATGAAATTAGACAAATATTTTGATGATATAGACCACACTTCTTTTAATTTCACTCTGGTGCTTTTTTGTTGTATGAAATTAAGATGTGGAGATGAGCCTGGAACTGCCTGCACATCTCAACCAGGAAGTTGATGAAATCATCAGTCAGGAGCAAGACGAAGTCATACCAAACGTGGCCAGAATCATGCATAGCACCCATCCTTCCCATGTCAAGATATCCGATGACGCCAAACGGACCATGTACCATTGTATGTCTGAGTTCATATGCTTTGTAACATACGAAGCCAACACGCATTGCCAGCGTGAGCAGCGGAACACAATCACTGTTGAAGACGTGGATTGGGTCATTAACAAGTTTGGGTTTGATGACTACATTGAACCCTTGCCTTACTACTTTCCTCCAAATAGTGAGGATGATGGTGGCGAGTGTGGATCTCTTACAAGGGAGTCTTTGTTGAAGTGTCCAATGGTTGATACAGCTTCAAGCTCCAATATCACACCCTATAGCGTTCCTCCTAATTTTCCTATGGCTCATCACCACTTTGTGTATCCACCACCAATGGGAAATGGTGATATGCAGGGGGAGGCAAGCACTTCTCAGTATGCAGGGGTTTCAGTGGATACTGACGTTGAGTCTCCTATGGAGGAGGATAAGGAGTGAACAATTTATCGATCTATTGAAGTTATTAAGCTGTTGTTGAAGCTTTATAAGCAATAAATAAAGTTTAGGAATAGTTTTTAATTTGCGAAGTTAAGGAATGTATGTTTCGAACTAAGCTAGCCAATTGGGGCTCCTTCAATTGGCTGTTTACTTATGTGTGTAAGTGTATGTGTATGTGTATGTGTATGTGTAAGTGTATGAGTATGTGTATGTGTATGTGTATGTTTGTGTGTGGTGGAAGTGCTAAATAAAATGAACAAGTGCTACTTGTCCTGATTATGATATTTCTAATTGAGCATATTTGATCAAACACTTTCGGAAAACAACAGAGGAATTGATACCAGTCTCTGCCATCTATTTGCTCTTCTTACCGGATCAATTACCAAGTTTACTCTTGTTATTCATAATCTGGAAACATGTCCAAATAATGACCACTTGATATATTTCCTCTATAGGATTTTCATTCAACATCTTCTTGTTAAACCTCTGTTTGATTTCCAATACAAACTGCCTTCTACTTTTCAGACTACATCTTTCTCAACCAAATTCCTAGATTTGTTGCATATTAAGTTTTTGCTGTATATTGAGCTACAATATCTTGCTTTTTTGTACTCTAAGAAAAAATGATGAACCGAGCAAAAAAAAGTAAGGGAATGTGCTTTTGTAATCATCCAAACATCCACCCCAATAACTATCAAAGTAGCCAAAGAGATTTTCATTCTCCACACTTCTATACCTAATTCTATTTTCAATTTTCCCTCTGATGTACCTTAACACCCTTTTAGCGTCTCCGAAATGCTTATTGCTGGGACTTTGCATATATTAGAATAACAAACTGACATCAAACATTATGTCTATCCTAGAAGTTGTCAGATACAATAGGTTTCCAATAAGATTCAATAAATTATTGGATCTTCCGCTCTTCACCGTCATCCTTCATCAATTTTTCATTCACAAAAACTGGTGTTGCAAAAGAATCGCACTTGCCAAGCTTGATTCTTTTAAGCAGATTCGAGGCATACATCTTTTGGGACAAGAAAATTTCTTCACAAAATTGAGAAATCTCCATTCCGAGGAGAAACTTCTTCTCTTCGGGATCAGATATCTCAAAATCTTTTAACTTCTTGAACCGCAAGAGTTATCATCAGATAATCAACATAAACTGATATCACAGTCCACATCCCATCAAATTTGCGCTTTGAAGAACATAGTAGGCTCATTTTGACTTTTGCAGAAACCTTGAGTCCTATGTGGCTGTCTAAGCATAGTTGTCCGCTGAAGTCAAGTTAGAGGTCATGTTTATGTATTATGTCAAAT